ATCTAGCCACTTGATAATTTCCTTCTTGACGACCTATTGCATGGCCTCATTCAACCTCCTTTGATGTTCCACGGAGGGTTTGGCATCATCCTCTAGTATAATTTTGTGCATGCAAAAGGCGGGGCTTATACCCCAAATGTCAGCCAGAGTCCATCCAATTGCCTTCTTCCTCTTTGGAGCACCACAAGGGTGGCATCTACTTGCATGTTAGTTAAGCACGATGAAAGAATAACAGGTAAAGTTGAACAATGGCCCAAGAATTCATACTTGAGGTGTGAAGGCAAAGGCTTCAACTCCAATATGGAAGGCTCCTCGATTGAGGGCTTTGTTGGTAGAGTCTTTCTGTTCTCAAGATCCAAGAAAAGTTTCTGGGGCTCATATGTGTATGAACCCATTCCTTGCAAAGCATTGACATATTCCACCAAGCCTTCATCCTCAGTCACATCATGGTTCAAAAACACAGCTTCCAAAGGGTCTTCCACATTAATCACAACACTTGTGTCTTCAACAATCACCTCGGTCACAAGATCCACAAATGAACATACTTCGTTGCTATTGGGCTGCCTCATTGACTTGCATACATGGAACACAACTCTTTCATCACCCATCCGGAAGGTGAGCTCCCCTACTTCCACATCAACTAAAGCCTTCCCTGTAGCTAGGAAAGGTCTCCCCAATATGATCGGCACCTCATAGTCAACCTCGCAGTCAAGTATCACAAAATCCGCGGGAAGTATGAACTTGTCGACCCGCACTAGCACATAATCTATTATCCCCAATGGCCTCTTCATTTTCCTTATCCGCCATCTTCAACCTCATGGATGTGGGCCTTGGTTGCCCAATCCCCAATGTCTTGAACACAGAATATGGCATCAAGTTAATGCTTGCCCCCAAGTCGCACAAAGCTTTGGCAAAATCGGCACTACCAATAGTGCACGGGATTGTAAAAGCACCGGGGTCTTCTAGCCTTGGGGCCATGGAATGTACAATCGCGCTCACTTGATACGTCATCTTGATCGTTTCAGAATTTATGGATCTCTTCTTTGTTACCAAGTCTTTCATAAACTTGGCATATCCTGGCATTTGTTCTAGAGCTTCCACCAAAGGCACATTTATGGACAAACTTTTCATCATATCAATAAATTTCTTGAACTGGTTCTCATTGTTTATTTTTGCAAGCCTTTGAGGTATGGTGGAGGAGGCCTTGGCTTTGGGCACTACCGTTTCCGGTATGTCTATCACGTGTTTCCTAGAAGGGTTCACATCATTTTGTGTCTCCTCCACGTTGTCATCAATGTCAATTCTCACTTCTTCATTCACATTCTCATCACTCACTTGCACATCATTGCTTTGCTCATCATCATCTTGCACCAACACATCATCACTCACAACCTTTCTTTCATTGGAGGTACTAGCAACACCACCTCTACCACTTCTTGTAGTCACCGCCATTGCATGGCCCGTATTGTTCCCTCCCTTCGGGTTTACTACCATGTCACTAGGTAGTGCCTCCTTAGAGGGAGTATTCAAAGCTTGAGAAATTTGGCCAAGTTGGACCTCCAAGTTGCGGATAAAAGTATTGTGGGACGCCAATTGGGCATCGGAGTCGGCGTTTTTCTTCATCATTTGCTCAAACATGGATTCAATCC